ATGGGCACTCTGTCTCCCAAATGAATAAAAAGAAACCAAAAGCAGCAACAAGACATTAGGTTTGTATCTACAGGTTATATCTGCCTGGACACCAAATACAATGACATAAGGCACTTCACTTCCACACACAGATCACAATGTCACGTCCATGGGCATACTGAACCAACCAACCAAATGAACTCTGTTGATATCTGAAACAACTTGCTTAAGTAATTAGAGTTTGAAATAATTCTGTTTTGCAAATGAGAAATTATCTGAAAACCAAATTTCAGTAGTAGAAGCTACCTGAAAGAGAAGAATGTGATTTACGAGAGCTTTGCCTGGGGCAACACTGAATCTACAAAATCAGAAGAACCTGACTGGTATGAAATACTCAATATGAATTATGAAAGCATCCTGAATGAAAACAGGTTTTTTATTTCCTGGCAGGATGGAGGGAGGTTGGAATCAGGTCCCAAGGCACAGTGAGACAGCAGTACCCAGCTCTGCGTGGGCAAGCAGCACAGCAGTTACGGCGTTGCATGCTGTACGCACCCCACGCCCAGGCGCCTGGCCTGCAGCCCCGACTCCGCGGCCACCTGTGCACTAACGCACACTCTGGGGGCAAGCTCAAGGACTCTAGTTCCTGTTACCCACATGGGAGACCTACAAAGCATCCCAGGCTCCCAGCGAAAGCCACATCCAGCCCTGACCATTAATCAGTAGATGGAAGCTCACTCCACCTCCACCCCAACATACATACATATACTTAAAAGTTATACTGGAGGGAGTGGCATGGTAGCCCAGTGGCTAAAGTCCTTGCCTTGCATGTGCCAGGATCCCACTGGTTCTAATCTCAGCTGCTCCATTCTCCATTCAGCTCCCTGCTTGTGGCCTGGGAAAGCACTCGAGAACAGCCCAAAGCCTTGGGACCCTGCACCCATATGGGAGATCTGGAAAAGGCTCCTGGCTCCTAGCTTCGAATTGGCGTAGCTCTGGCTGTTGCAGCTGCTTAGGGAGTGAATCAGCAGATGAAGATATTCCTTTGTCTCTTCTCCTCTCTGTATGTCTGCCTTTCCAATAAAAACCAAATCAAGTCAAATCAAATTATACTTGAAAACACATACATCTGGCTTTGCCAGTACTACCTTTACTTCTTATTTCTGTATGGTGCTTTGTCCCCTTTTACTTAAAGAAAAAAAAAGAATCTATATGCAATAAAAAAGAAAAACATCAGAAATGAGGTGAGTCTGTGGCAGAATCTGAGGAGCTGGGAGGTCAGCCCCCATATTACCTTGGCTATATTTCAAGGAGAGACACACTGCATGTAAGTCACCTGTGGGCTGTGTGTCAGATGGACTCCAGGCTGCTGAAAGGCACGGGCCACATCCTGCAGGTCTCGCTCGAACTGCACAAGCAATAAAGGTACACTGACAGCATGTGTTACTTGTCTGTAACTTGAAAAGGCCATGGCCTTGAAATGCTCCAAGCATGGTTCTAAACACCGTGGAGCACGTGGTCAAGTATTACACTACACACAAATGTCAAGCAAGGCCAATCCTCAAGGCCGAAGTCAGAAGACTCTGTAAGCGAGAGAATGAGCTTGGCTTTCCAAGACACGTGGCACTTGGCCCCTAAGGAGCAGATCTCAAAGCAAGGGACAGCATACTTAGAGGCAAGTATGGAAGTTCTGGATGGAGGGAAAAGATTTGGTCAGAGACAGAAAAGACAGGAGGCAAGGGAAGAAGAGGGGAGGGGAAGGGAAAGGAGGGGAGGGGAAAGGAGGGGAGGGGGAAGGGAGGGGGGAACGGCACAAGGGAAAAAAATAGACACACTAGATGAGGACCCTTGAAGGTTATCAACTTCACATTTCGGGATCTCACAAAGTTTTAAGTTTCTAAGAATACTGTTACTTCAGTTATATTTACAGCCAAGCCCAGCAATCCAAGGTGTACAGTGCAGACGGCAAGAACAGCCTGATAAAAAGGTGGCTATGGGTTTGATCAAGTCACGGCCAGCAAAACCCGATGAGCGACATGAGCTGAAGAAAGCGGACGAACACATATTTACTGCTTGGTTCCAAGTACAGGTGGTTAGAAGAAAAGCAGAATGAGCAGAAATGAGGTAGACAGTGCAGGAAGGGAGTGCAGACAAAAGGTGACACCTGCTGATTCTCAGAGTTAAGGGAACACCAGATACCTCTCCCCTGCACACCTTCTACAGAGCAGTGTGAATGGGAACTGCCAAGCTCTGGCTGAGAAAGTCTTGCTAGGAAGATTTTTCTAGATTTTCTAGAAAGTGCCTGGGAAAGCAGAAGAAGATGGCTTAAGTCCTTGGTCCCCAGACTCACATGGGAGACCAAGAGGAAGTTCCAGGCTTTGGATCAGCTCAGCTCCAGCGTTGTGCCCATTTGGGGAGTGAACTGATGAATAGAAGACCTTTCTCTGTCTCTCCTCTTCCTGTACATCTTCTTTTCAGATAGACAGATGGATATTTTAAGTCAATTTAATGGACAAAATAAAAACCACAAAATTAAAAGGGCCTAAAACTATCTGCTTCTCCAGAGGCTTGTGACTCACATTCAGGTGTCAAAAAGACACGATTGGGCCTAGTGCGATAGCGCTGCTGTTAAGGTTCTCGCCTTGAACGCCCCGAGATCCCATATGGGAGCCAGTTCTAATCCCGGCAGCCCCGCTTCCCTTCCAGCTCCCTGCCTGTGGCCTGGGAAAGCAGCAGAGGATGACCCAAAGCCTTGGGACCCTGTACCCGTGTGGGAGATCCCACAGAGGATCTGGGCTCCTGGCTTCAGATCAGCGCAGTACTGACCGTTGCACTCACTTGGGGAGTGAATCATTGGACAAAAGGTCTTCCTCTCTGTATATCTGACTTTGCAATAAAAAAAAAATCTTAAGAAAACACTGCAAGTAAACCCAGTTGACTTGTGATGCCCAATTTTTCAAATGTAATAGCAGATAACATCGTGGACGCAAAATAAATGGCCTATTGGCAGGAGAATAAAATGACAGTGCCACTTGGTTAAATATTTTGCCCATTTCCACTAAAAATCAAATCAACAGCTCACTGAAGACCCAGCCATGTCACTGTTGGGGACTTATCCGAGAGAAATAAAAACATACGCCCATGTACCTTAGGTGACTACGCACAGAAGCTTTATTTTAGAATTACCAGAAATTGAAGACGCAACTAGATAAAAAGTAGTGAAGAAATAAGCTAACTGTAATGACGACACTCACACACCTGTGGAGTATTATACAGCTGGAAAATGTATCCCACCAGTGTCACAGAGAACAGCATGAACAGACTTCAAAAGTATCACAGTAAGTGACATAAAGTAAGGCATGGCAGCGAACACTGCATGTATAAGCTATCCCGGAAAGGACGAGAAAGAGTGGTCGCCAGGGACTAGGCACAGATGCAACTTTGAGGGGGATGATGGTGGTTATAAGCATCTGCTGAAACTCATAAAAACATAGTGATTTTTACTCTATATAAATGGTCCCTCAAAAAAGTAAATTAAAAACAAAAGTTAAAGCATGGTTGTAGTAAAGATCACTCTGAATAATTCTAGACATTTCTCAAGCAGCTAGGATCCTGCGGATGTTCTTCATGCTGACAGGAGCCACGCTTCTCCTTCCTGTGGGCCTCAAAGCATCGCCCCGCCGTGAGGCACAGGCTGCCGCAGCACCGGGCCCGTGTGAGTGCTGCCTCCTGCCAACTAATGCAGTGTGTCCTGCTTGTTGGACAGCTGTTGGCTTCACTGTTTTTTTTGTCTTGCATTATAAAGGAATTGTTATCCTAACGGAATGTCCCCTTATAATTGGACAGCTGTGATATCATACGCCGAAACACGACCTGAGAAATACTTTCACCATGCAACGCAGAGGAAATGATAAAAATAAAAACAAATAAAGCAATGGCAAAAGACCCAAAAAAACCGAATAAATAAAATACACAGAAAAATGTTGCTAGATATCTATTTTCACTAGATCAGGGTTTTCAAATTCTTTAAACACCGTCCACAGTGAGAAACGCACTCAGAGCTGCTCCCCTTTCTGGCACTTGTGACAACGCAGACCTACACAATTCACAACACAGCCCAGAGAATGAAAATCTAATGCCATGTGTCTGCACATATGAAAAAGGGTTTCCAAGCTTCCTTTCATGTCTAAGCAGATGTGCGATCTTCCCCAAAGCTAACTACAATCCCCCACACTCCTCCTCACAGCGGACCCTGGTTCTGTTGGGGGGTGGGGGGCTCTGCCTGCCTTTCTTCGTCCTCCGGGGACCTGGGCCTTCCAGCCTTCCAACACTCAGGGCCTTTCTGTTTCCATTTACCCTAATTTTTACACACACACATAAAATAAAATTAAGCTGGATAGAAAAGGGTGGTATGTTAGTTTTTGTCACTACAAAAAAATACCTCAGAGAAGCTATTCATGAATGTATGAGGTTTATTTGGGTTCATGGCTTTGTTAGCTCTCTATCCAAGACCAAAGGCAAGGGCCCGGTGGCGTGGCCTAGCAGCTAAAAGTCCTCGCCTTGAACACCCCGAGATCCCATATGATGCAGGTTCTAATCCCGACGGCCCCACTTCCCATCCAGCTCCCTGCTTCCCTGGGAAAGCAGTCAAGGATGGCCCAAAGCCTTGGGACCCTGCACCCATGTGGGAGACCCTGAAGAGGTTCCTGGCTCCTGGCTTCGAATCGGCACAGCACCGGCCATTGTGCTCACTTGGGGAGTGAATCGTTGGACGGGAAATTTTCCTCTCTGTCTCTCCTCCTCTCTGTATATCTGACTTTGTAATAAAATAAATAAATCATTAAAAAAAAAAAAAAGACCAAAGGCAAAACTGATATGTAAGTCACACACAAAAACATTTTCAACTGTTAGCAACACTGAGTTTTTAAACTTACAGTCAATGTTAAATTCTATTTCAAGCTAAAGCTTTTGCATATTTTTATAGTTAAGTTGCACATAAACAATGAAAATGAAAAACTTACTTTTAAGGACTCCCATAAGGGAAACTGGACCAAAGAGAAAGGAATCTGGAGAGAGAGAGAGAAAAAAAAATTAAGACAATAAACATCAATTTGCCTACATTATTACAGAAACCTCAAATTGCTGCTAAAACATTATATTTCATGTTAAATTTATGTATGTAACAAAACATTAAATGATCTATAGGTATAGTAGAGTCATCTTCACAAAGAAGCCATAACACAGCTGGTAAACTTCTTTGACCTTATTGCGTCGCAGCCCAACAGTCATAAAATGATACTGTGAAGACCTTTTGAAATGAGAAATTATAACCACTGCTCTACTGAAAAATATATCTAAACATTTATCTGCATGGAAACTCGTCCACGGTACACTCTACTGGCTGCTGACTTCACTGTCTGAAACTCTAAAGCAGTAACAACTCTGTGTCAGTGCAAGCCTCACCGATTCCAACAGACCCACGTATGAACATCACCCCACGCGTGCTTATATACATATGTGACGTGCGCATGCTCGTTCGCTTGATCCGAGACGAGCTAAAGGCTGCTACCCTCTGCATGATTTAAGGGCATTAAGTTATTTCTCAAATAGTTGTATGTAATCAGAGACACGTCGGTCAAAGCAAACGGAGCCCTGAGTCTGACGGCAGTCACAGGAGGAAAACCCTTCTTCCTTTCAGGAGTGGAGCGGCAGGGAGGGCAAAGTCCAGGTCAACAGGTGTGACGGAGGCGACAAACGAGCATTTCAGAGACACCACACGCTGAATTTTACAGTTCCACAAGAACATCCATGTTCTCTTGAGTCTTTTTGTCACCAAAACATAAAGCGCCTGACAGTCCCTTCTGTCTTTCCAATTAGTTATCCAAACCACAAAAACTGGGTAATAGGTTTCTAAAAGGTGTCCTAATTTTTCAAAAACTCACATAATAAGACACATGCCACACAACATGGAGTATTTGTTGCTGTTCTCTTCCTTCTCAAAAGTAACTGTTTTATATTTATAAGATGTAATAACAATTTTCGCTAGTGCTTTTCCTTTCTTATGGTTTTACCACAACTCTGCACTGAATTTTATCGGTATTTCTTTGGATTTTGAATTCTACAGATGAACATTCCATCCATTTTTCTCTATTAAAACTTAATAAATTGTTCCCTCAGTTTAAGATTTTTTTTTTTTAATTGCGAAGTCAGATATACAGAGATGAGGAGAGACAGACAGGAAGATCTTCCATCTGATGATTCACTCCCCAAGTGACCGCAACGGCCGGTACTGTGCCGAACTGAAGCCAGGAGCCAGGAACTTCTTCCGGGTCTCCCAAGCCGGTATAGGGTCCCAAGGATTTGGGCTGTCCTTGACTGCTTTCCCACAAGGAGGAAGCTGGATGGGAAGTGGGGCTGTTGGGATTAGAACCAGTGCCCATATGGGATCCTAGTGCATGCAAGGTGAGGACTTTAGCCGCTAGGCTATTGTGCCGGGCCCTGTTCCCTCAGTTTAAAGAAGCAATTTAAAAAAATCACACACTTGGAATGCCCAATATCCCACAGGCTATTTACATGAAAAAGTGAATTGACAGTAAAGCTCAACTTCATTACCTAAAACAAGATTAACTGTCAGTGTGAGGTAATTAAATACATAGTAAATGCTTCAACAATTATATTTATTTCTGTCTTGTAGTAGTGAAAGAAGATAAAACCCTGATGTATGAAAAACAGTCAATTACTCTCCCAGTTACCCTCATCATGCTGCGCACAAACTGTCACCTACGGGTTAGAGAGGCAAGAAGGGCAACGTGTTCCCCACATATAGAAGAAGGCCTGCCAGGATGCAGCCCCCCAACGAACATGAAGGCCTCCCCCAGCCTCTATGACCCTGGGACTGCCAGAGAGCCAGCCCCCTCTTGTTTCTGGTCTGGAGTTACACAGCAGCGAGGTTTCCTCAAAGCATGCAATTTTATACCCCAAGCAGATGTAAGCTGTTATTCTAAAATGTTTTATAGTTGAAGAAAATGAATAGCTGTACTCAGAGGTCTTATATTCCAAAACACAACATACCCATTTTATTGCACCAAATGTTAGAAAATGGCTCACTGTTGTGACCTGCTTAAGGCCTCCATTTAAGATGTTTTGTTTGAATAAGGTCATTAAGACACCAGGCACTAACAAGTGAGCTGCAGTAAAGGCAGTTGCCATCAAAGATGCAGAGGTGTGTGTGGGGTGGGGGTGGGGGAACTGTTAACATTCAACATAGATTCCACTTAGTAATAAAAATACCGACAATTCTATGTGGCGAGACAGACAAAATGAATCTGGGTGTAGCAGACGGGAGGAAGAGGTGCTAGCCGTCACTGATGACATAAACAACACACAGACCGCACTATGAGCTTGCTCCGAGCATCTCAACACTGACTGGCAGTATCCTGAGCCAATCAGTGCTTTCTAACCTGTGCACTTACAATGTATGGAACCTTGTAGTCCCTTAATCAATACTGTGACCTATAAACGTAACAGAGACGGAAATGAAGGTAGCTGTTCTCAGGTACCACCCGGCTCTGAATGATCAAACTGGACTACCAACACGTCCTCTTAAGCAAATGAAGACTGATTATAAACTGCAATGAACAAAATGCCACCATGAGTTTTCTAGTAAGTCTAAAGAGAACAGTATATTTTTAAAACTGTGAAGGCTATCACATCTGGCAGAAATATCCAAGAACTCTCCAGCAACAAGGGCTCAAACTACTACCCATCAAAAGACTCTGGTAAGAAATCCTAATGATGTATTTCACATCCATGCTAAAATTCACACAACTTCAAGAACCCTTTGATAGCCAAAACAATTTTGTAAAAAGGAACAATTTGGAGATTTCGTATTTGCTGATCCCAACAGTTAGCATGAAACCACAATGAGAAAAGCAGTCCGGGTACCATTAGGGCACAGCAGCGTAACAGAGATCCCAGAAAAACCACCTCACGGACACGGGCCGTTTTCAACATCAGTGCCAACCTTCTCAACTGAGACAGGAGAGTGTTTTCAGCAAATGGTGCTGGAAAGACGGGATACCCACATGCAAAAGAATGAAGCCGGAGCTTTGTCTAATGCCTTATCATACAAAAAGGAAGTTTAAAGGATGAAAGACCTAAAGATAAAACCTAAAGTCATAAAACTCCAAGAAAAAGGGGGAAAAATCATAAAGGTATTCAATTTGATAACCATCTCCTGGCTATGATACACACAACAAAAGGAAAAGCAAACAGAACTATATCAAAATTAGACATCTGTGTGCATCAATGAACATCAACAGAGTATTAAAAATTCTACAAATCACCTGGTAATGAGTTCATATCCAGAATACATAAAGAACTAGGCAACAACAAAACATGATTTTTAAAAACACACAGTTACCTCTTCAGAGAAGATCTAAGAAATATGAGACTCAGTATCACTAGTCATCACCAGAATACAAATCAAAACCACAGTTATCGCCTCACTCCCAGCAGGACCGACACTGTGGGAAAACCAAACACAAGTACCAGGAAGGACAGAAGGAAGCTGCAATGTCTCTTCACTGCTGGCTGAGAACCTTAAATGGCAGTCACTTAAAACACAGCACGAATATTTTCCCGAAAAATTAAATACAGAGTTACTGTATGATCCAGTATTTCCACCTTTAGATATATACAAACAAAAAGCAAGTCACTGACTAGAAATGTTTGCAAAACACGTTATCTCCTACAAAAAGCCTTATACATATCGCTTCTCAGTCATTTGGCTAAGATTAAATGTAGCATCTGTTCTTATCAGTTTAATAAACCTAATACACAAGCATTTTTCTCAACTTAGCTTTTTATAATGTGTAACAATATTGAACAACCAATAAAGGAAGATACAACAATGACCAACGCAAGTACCGGAAGATACGGAACATCTTTTGTCACAATGAAAATGTTAAATAAAATCCTTTGAGAAAAGTCTATTCCTAGAAGTGTTAAGCATCACGTTACATATCCAACCACTTCACTCCAGTCCCAGCTATGCAGTCAAAATAACCGAAAACAGGCTCCACTGGGCATTTACACACTAATTTAATTACAGCAAAAGTCACATCAACCAACCAAATCAAGTTTATCAACAGAGGAAGGGACAAAGCAATATTGTGATACAATCCTAACATTTAGAATCTGAAATGTTCTAAACTTCAAAACCCTTTTGACTGTTGACATGATACCACAAGTAGAAAATTCCATACCTGACACCACCGAACAGGGAGCAGGCAAAGCACAGGTGTGCTAAAAATACTGCATAAAATTACCTTCAGGCTGTGAGCATAAGGTATTCTGTGTTTAGACTTGGGTCCCATCTCCAAGATACGTTATTATGCCAACAGTCACAACTCCGAAACTCAAAATGCTTGTGGTCCCAACCACTTCATATTAAGGATACGCCATGTGTATTTATGTAAACTGGAATATTTCTAAGCAATAAAGAAATGAAGGTCTGACACACACAATGTGGATGAACCCTGAAAATATGCCAGGTAAAATAAGGCAAACACCAAGGGGGAGATTATGCACAACAGCATTTACACGTAACACCCAGATGAGACCAACTCATATTGGCAGCCACTTGGTTAGAGGCTGTAAACGGCTGGGAGATGGGTATGAGCTACAAGCACGGAGACTGCTTAGGTGATAGAAGATTTCAGGAATTCAGAGCAGTGATGGGGAGATTTTTTTTTTCTTTTTAAATTTTTCACTGAAAGGTAAAGCTGGAGAGAGGAATATCTTCCTTCCACTGGTTCACCTCCCAAAGGCACAACAGCCAGAGCTGAGCTGCCCTGAAGCCCGGAGGCTCTTCCAGATTTCCCATATGGGTGCAGGAGACCAAGGCCTTGAGTCACCCTTCACTTCTTTTCCAGCTCATCAGCAGAGAGCTGGATCAGAGAGTGGAGCAGATGGGACACAAATGTGTGCCAATAAGAGATGCTGGCATCAAACTCAGTTTACCTACAACTCCACAGTGCCAACCCATTAAAGATCTTTTTCTAAA